TCCCGGGTCGGCGACTTCCGGCATCGACGCCCAGAACGGGGGACTGTTGCCGCGCCTCTGAGGGAAGTGTTTACTCTCCGGTGGCTTGTGGCGCCCCCCGCCCGCCCGCCCGCCCGCCCGCACCTCACCCACCCTGCTCGTGGGCCTTTTGAGGGGGGAGCTCTCCCAGGTGGGCGGTGGGACCTCAGGGGTTGGCTGGCATTTCCCCGCGGACAAGCAATGACCACGCGCCTCCTGGTCGTGCTGTTGGAAGAGTGTCCAGCGTTGGGCCCCCCCCTGCCTGGGCGGCTTGTGCTTCCCTGGGAGGCCTCGCTAAGCCTCGCGTGCTCTCCCTGCCCGGGTGTGTGGGCACCCCGCCGCCTGTCCAGTGCGCTTTGCCTGCTGATGGATCCTTTTACTGGGAAAAGTCTGTACGTGACGGAGGCCACTGGCTGCATTTGCTTTCCTGTCCCTTGCAGCGGGGTAAAGTCCTCCAAGAAGTGACACCCTGATGGGCACAGAAGTCTTCTGTGTATTTTAGGGCTTGGGGTCCTACATTCACATTTTTAAACCATTTTGAATGTATGTGGGGGTGAGCCAGCTTCAGGCGCTTGCAGGTGGCCATCTGGTTTTCCCAAGGCCATTTGAAGAGACTTTCTTTCTTGTATGGTTGCGGCTCCTTTCTCATAAGTTAGCTGTTGGCATACGTGTGGATTTATTTCTGGGCTCTCAACTCTGTGCCGTTGATCTATGTGTCTATGATTATTCCGATACCATGCTGTTTTAATTAGTGTGGCTTCACAACATAGTCTAAAGTCAGGTATCACGCTGCCTCCTTTTTCTTAGGTTTGCTTTAGCTATTCACTGTCCTTTATGCTTCCATACAAATTTTAGTATTTTGTATTTATTTCCTTCAAAAACATCATTGAAACTTTGGTAGGGATTGCGTTGAATCTGTATATTGCTTTTGGAGAGGTAGCCATGTTGACTATATTAATTTGCCCAGTCTGTGAACAAGGGGTCTCTTGCTCTCTCCTTTATACTTCAGCAGTATCTTACAGTTTTGATTGTGTAGATCTTTCCTCTACTTGGCTAAATTTATTTCAAGTTATTTGGGATTCTTAACTCCGACTCGTAGTGTGCATGTAGGGGTGCAGCCGACTACTGTGCATGAGTTTTGTAGTTTGCCCCTCTGTTGGGCTCACTCACTGTTTCGAACAATAAGATCTTTGGTGGGTATTTGGGGTATTCCACATGAATTATACTGTCTGCAGATAATAATTTCACTTCTTTTCCAACCTGGATTCCTCTTACTCCTTATTGTTATGTAATCGCAATGGCTAAGACCACCAACACCAAACTAAAAAGGAACAATGCTGTGCGCATCCTCGCATCCTTCCTGATCCTAATGGGGAAATTTCAGTTTTCCACCACAGAGTGTGGCACTGGCCGCAGTTAGCTCAAGGTGTAGCCATTTGTCTATGGAGTTTTCGTCATAAACGGTCACGCTTTCTCCCACCTATCGGTAAGAACCTGGCGTTCGTCCTTTCGCCGCTGGGGTGTGTGACACTGACTGATTTGCATGCGTGACAATGGCGCACCCTGCACCCCTGGAATAATTCCCACTTTGTCATGGGACACAATGCTTTCAGTGTGTAGCTGAATTTGGTTTGCTGGTGGTCAGCTGTGAATTTTTGCATCTGTGTGCCTCAGAGAGATCGTGCCTTTCTGTTTTGTGAAGTCCCTTTTCTTTTGGGGGGCAGGGTGATGTTGGCCTCCTGAGACGTGCTGGGAAGAGGCTCCTCCTCTTTGGAGGTTCGGTGGAGGTGCCGTCTAAATCCATCTGGTCCTGGGCTTTTGGTTTGGGGAGATTGTTTTTATCACTGTTCCACTTTCCGTAGTTGCTGATCTCTAAATTTTCGACACCTTCCCAGTTCAGCCGTGGTAAACGGCGTTGTTCCAGAATGGATCCACTTCTTCGGGGTTTCACCGCTGTCCACAGTGACTGATGTGGGCTCTCACGCGCCTGTGTATTCCGCAGCTCCTGTGGTGACTCCTCCTTTCACTTCTGACTCTGTTTACTGATCTTGTCCTTCTTTCTCTGTGAACCTAAGGCTTCACCCAGTTTGTTTCTTTTCCATGGGACTGACTGTTGACCTCATCGATCTTTTGTATTGTCTTTCGGTTTCTATTTTATTTCCACTTTAATTTTTATCGCATCCTTTCTCCCGCTAAGTTTTGGCTTTGTTTGTGCTATTCTGCAGATGCTCTCTGGCACTGTCACCGGCTCGGCACCTGCCGGGCCACTCAGGCTTCGGGGTTGGCTCAGTCGCCCCGGCTTGGTGGCGACCGCACAGCTCCTGGGCAGCGTCACCCCTTTGAGAACAGTCCTCTGAAATGACACTCAGGAGGACTGTGTCTCTTTTTAGCTGCTGACTGAAAACCACTGTCAGCTACAGAAAAGCTG